TCCCTGAAAAACTAGGGAGGTTTGTCTGGCTCTCTAGGTTTAATTATATCTATCTATCTATCTATCTATCTATCTATACACACTAGCAGTAGAGCCCGGTGTTGCCCGAGGATGTAACAGTAAGAGATAGATCAAGTATCGACCATCATAAAGACTGAAAAATAAAATTGACAAAGATAATTGTTTAAGGTTGACGGACACGCATGTCTTTTTTTTTTTTTTTTTACGAATTGGTCAAACCCAAACTCAAACAAAAACATTGTTTTCAATCGTTATGAGTCTACCGATTGAATAGAATTTTATTATAAACAATTGTCTTGTATATCGAACTTTTAAAGCATTCTGAATGTAAAAAAGAAAAAAGTGTGCAAGACAATAAGAAACAATACCTGCCAAAAAGATGAAGTTTTGTTGAAATCGGTTGAAAAATGTAGGAAATCCGATCCCATATATAAACGAACACAGACACAGACACATACACACACACAAACAACCTTTTATAATATAAAGTTTTATAATAAGTATAACTCGATATGAGTTGTCCCCCTTTCATTCTCGCGACAGCGATGCCCCTTAATCGTGTTTTCAAATTGATTTCGTGCAAAAACAATTGTGTTTTTCCAATTTCTGGCGCTGTCAGAACCACTGCAAGGTAATTTTACGTAGTCCTGTGAAGTTTAGTTGAAATCAGTTGAAAAATGTAGGAAATCCGATCCAATATATAAACGAACAGACACACACACACACAACCTGGGTTGTATAATAAGTATGATAAATATAAATTTTAATATATATTAAAATTTTGCGAATGTTCAGGCCGATACACGAAAATATTTTTACAAAAGACGTCTATTTAAACTACTAGTATTCATTATAATAACATTTACCGTAATAAAAATATCTGATTAAAAATAAACCCAATATATATTACATCCGACTTGACTTAACAGACTCGGCTAAGAAGAAGCTTTAGCGATTTAGTAAGGTCTGAAAAGTATATTTAAGCGAAGTCCTTCTCGTCATATATCCTTGAAATTATCATACCTACTCAGTTTCGTATCCAAACGTAAACAAAGTAATTTTCTAAAGAAGTAATGGATTTTTATTTTTCAATCCGTCAGATTTTTATCACTATAAACGTTATTTATAGTGGATGCTCCGCTTATTTATTAAACAGTATATTTATTTATTTTCGTCTACTGGCCTGAATATTCGAGAAATTTTAAAGAAATCCCGGCAGGATTGAAACATAAGTTCTCCTACCCAGAAGAAACCGTCGTTAGGTCATGATTTACTTTAGACCGTCTCGGCCACAGAACGTGTCATTTATTTAAAATGTTGAATAGTGTCTCTTATAAACGCAAGCTTTTCTCACACTCTTTCAACTTTGTTTCCTTCGTCAACACACTCCATTAAATTAAGGTCTAAGTAATAAAATCTGTCGAGTTAATAAATAAAGATGCACGACTTCTTTATATATATATATATATATATATATATATATATATATATGTGTGTGTGTATATATGTGATATATGTGTATGTTTGTGTGTGTAAAAATTTTTATATATGTATGTATATATATATATATATATATATATATATATATATATTTGTGTGTGTTTGTGTGTATATTCTTTTTTGCAATCAGCGTTTCTGGGTCTAAACTCACATCAATCCAACTATATATATATATTATTATATATATGTGTAATTATCACTTCTAGTTTCTTATTTTACATATTGAAAGACAAATGGAAAAAAACAAAGAAAACTCTGATAGTTTAGAATGGGAAATTTAATGTCAATGTAGAGGTGGAACTCAACATTGTTGATAATGCTCTGATTAATAAATACTATTTAGTTAAGATTGATGTGAGTTTATGCTCACATGATTGCGTCCAAAAATTGAAAAAGGTTTCATTTATAATAAAATCATTTTGGTGAAAAGCTTTCGTCAGGCAAAAATGATTTTTTAAAAAATTTGAAAAACAATATGTTATGTCTTTTCCGAAATTAAAAACTGAAAAGGTCAAATTTAAAAAATAGACTTGTATGTATGCCTAGTTAAACTCACATCAAATCCAATATTTCAATTAAATTCTGAGAATTAAATATATATAAATATATATTCATATATATATATATATATATATATATATATATATATATATATAAATTTCATTGCAAATAATTTTACAAACTTTCGTCTGTGTGTATTCTCAGATATGGAAATAGATTTTTCTAGTTTCCGTAAAACCTTAATATTTAAATTCAAACTATAGATTTCCCATATTACATCTCTATTTTCATTGTACTCTTATTACCGAGCTGTAGACAAAACAAATGGAAAAAAAACAAAAGCTTAAGAAAAATTCTGATAGTTTAGAATGGGAAATTTATAAATTATGTCCAATGTAGAGAGTGGAACTCATCGACATTGTTGTTGGTGCTCTACACAACCTTAAAAATAAGCCCCAAGTAGGACACCTGGGTGGGGTATACTTATCTGGAGATGTAATACAAGCTTTCGAAATTCAAAAACTTCGCCGTAACGCAGATTCAAACTTGACCAAAAATATGGTATATTTTCATGCTTCACATGATTGCGTCCAAGAAAAGACGATTGAAAAGTACGGTTTAAAAAAGTATGAAAATGATCTCAGTGTCCAGACACAAACATTCGAATTATAATAAAATCATTTTTGACTGGAATCGCCCTCGACACAAAAAGCTTTCATGTTTCAATACTGATCTGGATCGAAGGATACATTAAAAGACCAACAAACAGCTTCTTAAATCAGGCGTTGGTAATTAAAAAATTTTTAAAAAAATTGAACAATCTAATCGACAAAGGAAACATTACTTACACCCCGTTTTATCTCCTTCCTAAAATACACAAAAGCAACAATCCAGGAAAGGCCGGTTATTTCTTCGTTCAACTGCCACACGACAAAATTTCCAAATACATAGAAATTAAAACCGCTAGCTAAGGGCATCAAGGATCTACTGAACAAAATTAATAAAAAACAGTACCAGACTATTCTATGTTATCACTATGCCTCAGGGCTGGCTGCCCTTCATTAACTAAAAGAAGAAAACAGGACCCCCCACAGAAGTTCAAAAACTCATGGAGCATGTCCTTAGAATCTACACTTCAAATTCAAAAAGGTATATATTCATATTATTCATGGGAAAATTGGAGAGACTCATATCTATCCAATCATTGGTAGCGACTGCGTATTCTATGCATATATCGATATATATTCTTTGTATACACGGGTAGTGATGACAAACTTTGAAATCCATCTTCCCTAAACACAGTGCACGACTCAATTAAGTTTGACTATGAAAATCCACAACATCAGTAACATTTTTACACCCGCATTTATAGATGAAAACGTACAAACGACACTTAAAATCACCGACACCCAAATCTACACTTTAAGTCTTCCCACCTAAACACCTCAAAAAGAAGTCTTTTTCAATTTCAGAAGGATGTGTTCAACAATGAAGAATTAAATAAACACATTGAAAATCTGTTCAATTCACAACACGTCCTATAAACAACAGGTAATGGAAAAATAAATAAAGATTTGTTATTATACAAGTTTTCTACTCCTCTAGTAAAACCTTGCCTCCACTATTTAAACGTTCAAACTCAGCTCAAACCAGTTGCGACCCGGCCTTCTTGCATATCGTTCCTAAAAAAATAAAACATTTAACCATAGGGGACAAGGTTTTTTTTCTCAACGATTACATCCATATTTTCATTCACTAGCTCAATCACTAAATCTACTTTCAAAATCTACCACGATTCTAACTGTGAAACAAACATAATTTACCTCCTAGAATGTACTTGTAAAATATAAAATCTGAATGGCCTTTAACTGGAATTTAATAAATCAGGATCAAATATCATTCATATACAGGTTTCCGCCTAGAAAACATGATTTCAAAACCCATCTGATTTATATTGTTTGCGAATAACATTATGTATTTTAGAGTCCTCGCCATTTAAATGTCTAAAAACATTATCCACCTAAATATATTTGTTTTTTGTATGAATGATTCATGAATTTGTCACATATATATATATATATATATATATATATATATATATATAAACAGAGACACACATGTATATATAATGGAAAAATAGACCACACAAACACTTTAAGGTAATAAAACCATTAAATAATTTAAATTTCTATCCAGTTCTTACCAAAAACAACTTTTAAAAGTTTGACCAAGACAGATCAAAAATCAGTGTAACAAATGAAAACTTCCAACAACGAAATGAAATTTCGGTTGAAAATCGGGATTAGAAATTGATGGGTCTAATGATTTTAATTTTTTAATTTTTTGTTCAATTTAACAGGGAGGGTGAGAGTTGTATCAGTTAACGAAATGACAAGGATTAGAAATTGATGGGTGTAGGGAGGGAAGTTGTTTTAACATTGGTAGAGTGTAGGGAGGATTTTCATCCTCATTGAATTACCCATTCGGTTTATCAAGTTCTTCGTAACTTAATATATATATATATATATATATATATATATATATATATATATATATATATATGGGGGGTGCGTGTGTAATAGATTTTACCACTTTAAACGTTACTTTTAGAGAATATTGATCTTTACGTCGACGATCCGTTTATTTATTAAACAGTATATTTATTTTTATTAATTTTCGTCTACCGTCCTGAATATTAGATAAATGTTATTAAAGAAAAATATGCGCTCTTCAGTAGAATACGGACCTATCAGAAATCTCCAATTCCACACCATCTGCATACGTAACAACACAGGTACTTCGCATTTTCTGTGATAATGTACAACATTTTCGTACTCTGTACTGGAATTGGACAGTTCTTATAATCTGACCTTCTTTTAGCTTCATGTCCGTGTACGTTTTAACGGGTCACTTCTGGTTGACACTCTAGAATTTGCTAAATCCGATTCAAGGACATTGTCAGAGAATAGGAAATAACCATGTTGGACTGCACAAAGGATGTGATTCGAAACAAAGGTAAAATTTGACAAAAAAATAATAATAATGTCAGGCTCACTTACGTATATGCTTGTGTCCGTATAACCTGAACATTGTTCATTTTACATTTGTTGCCAGAAGACGGTTGCACATCTTACTTCGGCAGGCATTTTTTTGAAGGCAAAAAATTAAATGGAGATTAAGTTATAGAGAGAGGAAAATAATAACGCCGTTTTCTGATTGTAAGATGCACCAAATGCCCTCCAACCAAATAAAATTTTGAAGGAAGATATCAGAAAAAAAGTTTTCCTTGTACTCCATAACCCTCCAAATTAACCCCAATTTTACTTCCTGAATAGCATATTTCAGTAATGAAAACCTGACTAATCATGTCAAATTCATCACAGACCGTGAAGAAGAAGTAACGAATTTATAGTAACTACTTAGAATGTAATAATTACTAGAGAAGTTAGAATGCATAATACCACTGAAACCTAACATTATTGCAGCCACAAGGGCTCAGAGACGCTTAGGACTCTATCTATGTGGTTTAAAAATGGTTTGTTGAAAAAATTTGGTGCCGATTTGTGTTGAATTCGTCAACAATTTGGTGAGGATCCTCACCAAAATTGAATGACAAATTTTTAATGTGGGTATGTCAAAACCGCCAAAATAAACATTTTTCCGTCAACCAGATACAAGCAGAGATTCGACTAGAGTCCTAAAAGCACAGATCTCACTGAGCCACCGGGCCGAGTTATTCAGATACATAGGAGTGACGAGTTGAATTCTCAACCCTTGAATACTCTACAGACGGGATGTGGCAATCCTCTCGAGGCTGTATTGCCACTTCTACGGAAAGAGCACGCACGAACCAAATTCCCTGCTCCCGCAAGTTCAAACCATCACGTCAATTAAACGGCATGCCACACATATAGTGACAAACCACCCATATTCACTTTTTATTTCATCCGTGAGAAGTAAATTCCACCTGATCAGCTTCTTCCCGAGAACCATTGCTCTGTGTAAGCAACTCTGAAGAAGATGTTTGCCCGTATCACTAGGATCTTACTCTATTTAAGGCTGGGATTAACTGTTATCTTTCTCACATCCTCACAAATTACTTCCTAACTTAACTCTCTACCTCGACCGGCCCCGGGCCTTGTGCAGCGTGAAACTTACTGTAAAAAAATTTAAATCTGGATACAGAAATAGGCTTAAGTTTGATTTATCTGGTTACACTGAATGCCTCGAATATCAAACTAGCTACATTCCACCATCGTCGATCGGACCCCTAACTACCGCCAGTCACGATGAAGTGATGTCCTCTTGGAGAGGTACCCTGCCTTGAGAGACTTTTGAGACGTAAACTCGTGCCTGACTCTCTAAAGATTCAGGTTGAATGTTCGGCTCCCTGTCCCGCTCCAGCTAGAACTTGACTCCTTTACCTTTACAAGAGCCAGATCAGGCCAAGAATGAAGTACCGCTGTTATACAGTGTAACCCGGTTATAAGAGAGTTGTCGGGACCGGAGAAGTCTCTTATATCCGGGTTTCGTCTATTTTATATACATTAACACAGGCTCTAATTTGGGACCAGAGAAAATCTCTCTTATATCCGGGTTTCTGTTATATTCGGGTTACACTGTATTCAGACAGGAGTTGTACAGAGCGCACTTTCTAACCCCAATATAGGCCAAAAGCATCCCAGAGACCTTGTGGGTGATGAATTATTTTTCCACCCTCCAACCTCTCTGTCACAGGTAGTATGTGGTAATCCTCAGGCTGCACTACCGCTGCTTTCACAAAAATTTTCAAAGGAACAACTTCTTGCTGCAAATTTCTGCTCTGCGGAATCGACTCCTAAGTGGATGTTTCCCTAAGCACTACAATCTTCAAGGCTAGGGTTAACCGTTATCTTCTCCTGTACGCACAAATTACCTCCTAATATAACCCACTATCACTGCTCTGTGGAACCGACTCCTAAGAGAATGTTTCCCCAATCACTACAATCTTAGTCTGTTCAAGGCTGTTATCTTCTATCCGTACAAATTGTCTCTGGGGTGGTCCCGAGCCTTGCACCGGGTGAAAAATGTAGGTAAAGACAAATAGTATTTCTTACCGTAGTTGTGAATCCCCTAACGGTATTATATCTTGAAATCCGCATTATCGTTAATCTTGACAAGTTTATTACAATCACTAAGTTTATGTTGTAAAATTTATCGAAATAATGTTCTCACGAAATTAGCTATCATATAACTCCCGTCAACGGACTTTGATTTACAGGATTCATTGTGGTCTTTGGAGATACTGAAAACACTAAAGATTTCATTTCTTTCAGTCTGTTATGTAGGTATATAAACATATTAATATTCATAAGGTAAATAAAACAAGACAAGCAACTACAAAATCCTAATATATATATATATACCGTCCAAGGCGATAGAACCCAGTCTATCCTGCCATTTTACCCATAGCTCAAAGGAGAAGAGGATTCATACCTCTCCCAAGGGTATTAGCACGTAAGTAAATGTAATTGATTCGACTGGAATTCGAACTCGGCTCTCCGAGTCCTCAATCCTAGTCGCTATCTATTACTCATCAGGGCCTCTAGGAAAAGGACAACACTGAATTCAAAACCTGCGGAGGGTTGTTTGGGGAACTTGTGGTACGTAGTGCACCAGGTTCCTGTATTCGGACATTCAAAAAGGGTGAATGGTTCTGCACAAACCCTTCACCACTCTAATCAAATCATACGTGCTGGTGTTTGGGCTGTCGGTTATATGTATATGTGTGTGTATATATATATATATATAATTATTTATTTAAAAATATGATTCCAACACGCTACATAAGAGGTCTCATGTTTCAAAACAAGAGCCGAAAACTTCAATATAATTATTTGAATTAAATTGAATTAAAGTAAGCTCTGTTCCATCTTCAAGCGAATTTTTTTTTGAATAACTTTCATTCGACTTCATAAAGGGTTATCTTTTTTTGTAGGGTATTTAAACTATTTATTAGGACTATGGATTTTAAAAATTATTTTATTGTTTGTTTGTTTTTATGCTAATTATTCAATGCAAAAAATTTGTTGATGTCGGCAAAAACCGTTAACTCATGTCTATTGTTTAATAGATTTTATTATTTAGAAACTTAATAATGTGTAATTTTCATGTAGGCATAAAGGGCATGGGTCATCCCAAGTTTTACAAGTTCTAGTTTTGTTTATAATTTTTCATTTTACTTTGTTTTGAAACATGAGACCTCTTATGTAGCGTGTTGGAATCATATTTTTTAATAAATAATTATATATAACCCTTTATGAAGTCGTCAAAAAACAACTGTTATGGCAGTTTTTTTTATATACACAAAACCCCTTCAGAAAAAAAAATAAAATAAAAAAATAAATAAATCTCCTTAGACACGTAAACCAGTTTAGGCGAAATCATCTTCCGTTTTAAATTTAGACATCCCAACCTTACCCTGACTTGACATCTGTGAATGTAACTCTATACTGATACTTATTATTAACACCTACACACCTTTTTATTCAAACAATCGCTCTAGCCGTTACCATAGAAATTTTGATTTCAATAATGGATATGGTATTAAAACATGTAAATTTCAGAAATAAGTTATTCCAAAAAAAATTTCGCTTGAAGATGGAACAGAGCTTAGTTTAATTCAATTTAATTCAAATAATTATATTGAAGTTTTCGGCTCTTGTTTTGAAACATGAGACCTCTTATGTAGCGTGTTGGAATCATATTTTTAAATAAATAATTATATTTAGGCTCTACTTTTGTATCGAGCACTATTTTTTAAAAAAATAATAACTAAAATACTAAAGAACTTTGGATTATTTACCTAACGAGTTCTTTCCTATTTTCTATATATGTTCACACACACACACACACACACACACACACACACACACACACACACACACACACATATATAATTATTCGACTTAAAATTTGTATTCGACTTTAAATTGAAAATTCGCAGATGAAAGTGGTTATTAACTAATGGTATCTTAATTTTAATTGTACGAAAAAATATTTGACTCTTTTCCAAACTGTTTATGGTGTTAGTCTGTAGAAGGAGGACTAGTCAACAAACTGACACAATAAACAGTTTAAAAAATCCTGCGAATATTAAATTTCAAATTCGCATGTGAAAAGGGTCATTAACTAATGCTATCTTACTTCCAATTGTACGAATATATATATATATATATATATATATATTCAAAACAACACAACAATAAATTAAACTAACAACAAAATCGAAGTGGCCAAAAGCGCTTGGGACAATGAAAATTATGAAAAGTGTCTGTACTACTTTAAATCTACCAAACGAAAAGACATAAGGATGTTGGAAAAACTAAATAAAAAACTAATTAAATCTTCCTTGTCTGCTATATTAAATGAATGTTGTTTAAAAGAAAGGTTCTGCCTAAATATACATGAATAATCTTAATAAATTAAGGACATTCAAAGTATCCATTGATAATATAAACCTTAGCAACCAATTTACTATGGAGCACACCAACAAAAAATTCCCTTTTTAGACATATTAGTAACAAAAAGAAACACAAAACTTAGAAACCGACATATATGTTAAACCTACTGACTCTCAACATTATCTACTTTTTATATCTTCCCATCCGAAACACACTCGCTCGTACCGAATCTACAATAGTCTAAAATACAAGAAATCACAGAGCAAAAGACAATGAAAGATACTCATCAAGTGAAAATACCCTCAAAGTTTAATCAACAATAGCATTCAAAAAACAAAACAACTTAAAAACCACACACTTCTAGAAAGAAAAAGAAAAAAGGTCATCCCATATATCTCAACTTTCAATCCAAAGAACACAGAAATCTATACACACATTCAACTAATTCTACCAATCCTACTAAAGGACAAAAAGTGAAAAAACCTATTTCAAAAATACCCAATCAGAAAAAAGTAAACGACGACCAAAATCACTAAAAAAAAAGATACTGGTTAGTACAAGACTGCAGATCACAAAGCTCTGGTTTGATTTTTATAGTCTAACTAATATTTTGGTCAAATAAATAAATAAACAAATAAACGACTTCCGGTAAAATAACCGCCAAAATAGACTACCCAAAATGCAGCACTGACCCGTATATATATATATATATATATATATATATATATATATATATAAAATAGCCGAGAAAAATAACAGCACTCGTGGCCTGACGATTGAATCTAGCATGAAACAGACTGTCGCCTCTAAGTGTTGACTTCTATGTTCACTTTTATATATATATATATATATATATATATATATATATATATATATATATATATATGTATGTATGTGTGTGTGTATAAATATATATATATGAACACATATATATATATATATATATATATATATATATATATATATATATATATATATATAGTTTGCGATGGGCGTGATGGCTAAATTTTCACCATTTTATATTTTTATTTTTTATTTCTCGCATGCGTGTTGTTTGTTTTTGATTTTGTCGATTGCGCAGTATAGTTGGGTCATTTGGGATCCGTCTGTGAGAAAAAGAGCACCATGACGCAATTCATTTCAACAGAAATTTGGAAACGGAATACTGTACTGCTTGGCATTCGCGCCAGAATCTCCCATACGAACATTTCAGTATGTATGAGTGTTAATCTGTTATACTACCACTCGTCTTTCCCACAGGTCCTAAGTCTTAACACGGAGGTCTACATTAACTACCTGCACCATGCCATACAAGCAGGAGAAGCCAGTCATGGTAGGCAGAAAATTTTGCGACCACATCACCCATTAGATCTAGCCACCTAACTCCCCAGACTGCAACCCTTTGATTATTGTGTGTGGCGCAGTTGAGAGAGAGAGAGAGAGAGAGAGAGAGAGAGAGAGAGAGAGAGAGAGAGAGAGAGAGCTCCTTGTAACAAAACTGATGAACTGAAGGCAAGGATTGTGGCAGCATTCACCAAATAAGTCCAGAAAACCGCCCAGAAGAGATACACGAGATTATGAACATGTCTGGTGGCCGTGGTTGAAGCCAATGGTGATTATATTGAATACATTTACACTTTGGTATTTCAAGATATTTTTTGTGTAATTTTGGTAAATTTATCTTTAAAATGGGATGTCAGTTTATTTTATATTTTGTAAATCATTTAGACGATAATCATCTATCTATCTTTCTATCTATCTATCTATCTATCTATCTATCTATCTATCTATCTATCACATTCTGCTTTATTATCTATCTATCTATCTATCTATCTATCTATCTATCTATATATATATATAATATATTTATGTATATATATGTATATATACAAAACATAAAAGTATAGTTTTTAGGTATACTATATTTATCGATAAAAAAGGCTCGATATCAAGGTTTTAAACACTGAGTTCAATAACGAGTGGCGGCAGTCTGTTTTATGCTTGAAACCAATGTTCAATCAATGAAAACTTTTATATATATATATATATATATATATATATATATATATATATTGGTATAATATTTGTAGCATACGGAATAAATTCCAATAACCAACAATTACTATTCTTAAAAAGCGCGCTCAGTACAGAGTAGAGCGAATATAATTATTTATTTAAAAATTATAACATAAATATGATATAAAATCACTACAAAAATAGCCATTTTGTTTCAACACATCTGGTGTAATTCGAAATTGATTCTATCCATATTATAAGAATAGAATAGACAGTACTCAACAGTAATAGGCGCTAATATCCAAGTATATAATTGTTGTATACGGAATAAATTCCAATGACCAACAATTACTATTCTTAAAAGAGTGCTCAATACAGAGTAGAGTTGTTGGTTATTGGAATTTATTCCGTATACACCAATCATATACTTGTATGTATATATATATATATATATATATATATATATATATATATGTGTGTGTGTGTGTGTGTGTGTGTGTGGTAAGAAGTCATCCGAACAAGTTTTGCTCAGTTGAATCAATATGATCCCTTTTTTTGAATGTTTTTTTTTATTTTAATTTTCAAAATATTCAGGACAGATATTGGAAACAAAATTGTGGAGAAATAAAAAAGTTGCTATTTTGTAAAAAAAAAAAAAAGTCAAAATAAAGCAAAAAACTCAGCCATTATCAAGAATCTCTAGAATACTTATTAGTATTCTTATTAGTATTATTATTTCAAACACCGTCTATTAAATATAGTTTCCTGTATTTCTTATTTAATATGCGCTGTTTCTTTTATATAATAATAGCTTCTAGAATACTTTTCCGCTGCAGTATAGCTTCATATAACTGTTTTACATTCAACGTGTCTTTGGAATAATTTGAAGTCCAGCGTTCCAGAAATTTTGTTACTACATTGACAACATCCAGTTTTTGATAATGTCTGGGACGGTGAAATAAATGATTTAAAATAGAACAAAATATGAACTTCATGCAGTTTATCTGCATTTCTGGTTCAGATGTACAGCATGTTACTTGAAAATTTGAAAACTACAACAAAATGTTAAACAGACAGACCTTGTTACTTGAATTTAACAAAGCTTAATCATCTGAATCAGTGTAAACCCACAACGCGACCTTCGCTCAAGATTTTCACCGACCGGCTAATGGTTACCCCACGTTGCATTTTAATTCTCAATCTCGTCTGTGAACACCGTAATCTTGGAAAAGGCCTGCTGCGTGCTCACAATGTAGCATAGATGAAAAACAAACGCCACGTCTAGAAATAATAACGTGTTCGCATATTATATGTACATGTTTTATTCAGGGCTTCACCTTTATTTAGGTGACACTTGGTCTTGAACAACTTCTGCTATGCCGGCTCTTCCTACTAACAACACCTCCGCTATAATACACTTCGAGGAGTGGCTGGCAACATGGATGGACAACATCGGAACCACGTGTCGAACAAGTCCGTCTCCCGCTAAGGGCGGACTTCCCGATCGCAAGTATCACTGTTAATATAGGACAGCACCACGCACTGTTCGGTTTTTTGTCGCACTATCCAAAACCCTCATCCAAAGAGTTGGTTGTATCTGTTCCACTTCGGTCAAAGTTAAAAAACCTAAAGAACCATTCCGTTAGCAAAATAAAACAGAATCAGTTAAGATCGATATAAACTACCTTCCTTTTCTACACGGGTGTTCATAGAATCCTAACCAGATTATTGTGGTTCGAATTGTCTCCGATAATAAACAAGAGACATTCTCTCAAATCACGTCCATATTCAACGCGGGAGGAACACGTCTCATATGTTATTACCACTGGGATACCCGCATAACCAAATGTGTGATTTATTTTGATTTCAAGTGTTTCTTTTTTGTTGTTGTATTTTTCAAATTTCCAAATAACATGTTGTATTTTAAAGCCTTTAGACAAACACAGAGACAAACTCATAAGTTATCCGTATAATTTAACTTTTCTAAATCTTTTTAAATTCATTCTTTTTTAAATTCACTTTTCTTTTATTTTTACATTTTTTGCAGTGTCTTTGGAGCTTAATCTTCTAAAAGGCCAAGCCACTTGAACGTAGCAGAAAAAAATGAATATTTAAGCCTGTCAGCGTCCGTTTGAAAAAATTGTGGGGCAACTGGGAAAAAAAGGTTATTGATGGTTTCAGTTGCTGGGTTTAATAGCCGCAGTTGGAGTCGAGGATATTAGTTTTGGCTCCTCAATGGCAGAGGACATATTATCGGGTTTTTCGGATGCCACGCGTTCGTAGTGCTAACGACACCAGCCACAACACCTGATGATGAGATGAGTCGAGAGATGCTCAGGTGTAAGAACTGAGCTGTTAGACTGACGAGATAGGAGTTACCACGTCATCTACCAACCCACCAACATCAAGCAAGCAAAGAGCTGAATGATGTCAGTACAGTGGAACCTCGGTTCACGAATTTAATTCGTTCCTGAAGCCCTGTGACGTCGTCCCCCGGTCGCAGCGCCAACTGTGACGTTCTATCCTGATCTACCACGGCGCCAGTTGTGACGTGGCCGTTCCAGGGTCCTATCCCGGTCACGACACCAGTTGTGACGTCCCTAAACAGCACCAATTGTGACGTCTTCGCCGCGGCGCCAGCTGTTCGCTCCTCGCTGTTCCGTCCGGGTGTCGCTGCTCCAAACGTGACGTTTGCCTGTCGCGTCAGTCGTGTTGTCTCGTCCTGTGACGACCAACTGGCTTGGTATCGGTCGCGGCACCCAAATGTGACGTTCTAATCTTTTGGTGATTCGGTGGGAATCTGGTTAGATATCAGCCTCGTTGTTCCCAACTCGCTTCCAACGCCTGGTTACCAAGGTAACTGCACTGATCTCCAGTCTGCCTACGTTGTGAATTGATCTTAGACAGACGAGATCAAACAGGGGTTGGGGCCGTAATGCAAATTGAGTTCAACGGGGGTGATAACACACAAATATGCATAAAAGAAAAAATGAAAACTCAAAAAGTTCAAAGTATCAAAGAAAAAGGTAATAAACTTTATGTCTAGTTGTTCGATACATAGGACTGCATCTATCTCCCGACCCGTTCTGTGGATTGTGACACGTCGTTTTCGCTAGGAAAGTTTTAACGCTTCAAGTTGTTCGCTCTCTAAGAAATTTGTGTTTCGGTGTGTCCTTGGATGAAAGTCGAAAAAAAACTTATTTCTGTGGTCTGGTTCTAAGTCGCTCTTCAAAATAATTGTTCTTGGTTGAAGAGGAGTCCGAAATTTTGCGTGAATCTTGGTCAGCTATCTTGAGGCGGCTTCAACTCTGAAAACTGGAGCTCGAACTTTGGATACTCATCTCTGCCGTCAGGGCGCGAACTACTGGGCACTCATCTCTGCCGTCAGGGCGCGAACTACTGGGCACTCATCTCTGCCGTCAGGGCGCTAACTACTGGACACTCATCTCTGCCGTCAGGGCTCGAACTACTGGACACTCATATCTCCGTCAGGGTCTGAACTACTGGACACTCATCTCTGCCGTCAGGGCTCGAACTACTGGACACTCATCTCTGGCGTCAGGGCCTGAACTACTGGACACTCATCCCTGCCGTCGGGGCGCGAACTCATTTCTGCCTATTGGGGCCTCGTTTTTATTGACGCCGTCAAAAACCGGGTTGGGTCTGTTGGCGTCGGGGAGTTCCTCGATAATTCTAAATACATATCCACCTCTTTTATTTCTGGTTAGGGATTTTCCACTCTTTTCCATTTTTGGTAACTTTTTTTTCACTGCCACTTTCTCACCATGCTTCTGAGGGGCGTGAACTGCCCTCCCCACTTCTTCGCAGCGGCTTCTCATACTTATACTTTGGATGGGGGCGTCAACAGCCTTCTTCGTGCGTCACGTGATCACTCTCGGCCAATGAGGTCTTGGTCTGGTATCTTTCCTCCTCCTTCGTGCGTCGTGTGATCACCACTTGACCAATGACGTCTTAGTCGGGCGTGAACAACCCGCGGCTTTGTTTTGGAAAAAAAATACCTTGCTTAACTAAAAAAAATTATCCCTTCTTTTCCTTTTTTTGAACCTTTCAAATCGCCGTTATCATGAACGGATAATATGACAACTCTTTGTTCAACACGTGGCGTTTGTCATTCAGTTTACGGCCAATTCATCAGATGACATGGCCTCAGAAAAGAATTTTCTCCAAGTTTTCAGTCGGTCTGACGTCTCCAAGGAAGAAATAAAAACATTTCTTATTCCATTCATTTTCCTTCGGTTCATGTGTCTGATAACAAAATTTTATTATCGCAGGGCAAAAGTTTGTTTTAGTCGAAAGACTTAACTTGCGAAACGGGCGGGATTTTAATTTTCCATATCTAGCTAAGGCTCCGTACCTACACCTGTGTTTTGTCAATTATCAAAATCTAACGTTTTCAAGTGGACTTTCTTTGGCGAACATTTCTTGATAACACAATTTCATTCGCGCAGGCCAAGTAGGAAAATCGGTCAATGATTGCTCGCAGGTGGCCTTTGTTTTTCATATCTGTCCAAAAAAGTCTTTTTAGTCGCCTGTTTCTTGTCGTCCTTATCGAAATAACATTTTCGAATTTTTCCCCTGGCCGGTGGCCTGTGTTTGATAATAAGATGCCTTCTTGTACCAATAGTTTTAGATAACACTTCCCTACCCACTCAATCTCATTGTCATTGTAATGACACTCTTTTCGCCATTGCCACTTATCCAAAATAACCCTTTTTTTTATTGTCTCTTAAGCCGTGTGTGTGTGTTCGCTTATCACCTATGATCCGTCTCGCATTACTTTTTTCCTTCCTTTCTTCTTTTCTTTCCTTTTCCCTTTTTGCCTTTCTTTCTCTGCTTGGATGCATGGTGCCACAGCCCGTTCATAACACGAAATGTTCGTCAACCGAAACTTTTTTTCCCAATAGGGATCACTGTAAAATAGATTAATTCGTTCTTGGTCCCAAGATGATTGCTTAAATTTTTACAAAAAAACATTGTGCAAAAGTTTATACACAAAACTAATAAAAATCATTAAATCTAAGAAAAAATAAATAAGCCAAATACTAAATAGATAAAATATACGAACACTTTAATTCTACCGTGCCTGTAAGTAGGAGAGTTGATGGTGTAAGTGGAAGGTAGATAGAAGTGAAAGGAAAGAGATGTTATTGTTTCGAAAAGGGGGTGGGGAAGACATGATCATCTCTTTATTTATAAACATAGTATAGATTGTTGATTCTGCTATTTGAAACTGAGTAGGAAGAGACAATATCATCAATTGTTTTTCGCTCAACTTTTTCCTTTACCAGTTTCACTGATAGCTTTCTTTGGATCCATAATAAAGAGAGAAAAAAGACAGTACAATAAAATTGGGAAAGAAAAGCACAACACACGAATATATACAATATGGCGATCGACTTAGAAATGATTTTGTTTCGGTTAACTCGTTTCGGCAATGTTGTTCGAGAACCGAAATATTGCTCGATAACCGAGGCATTTTCTTCTCGTTTTTTTTGTTCAAAAACCGATTTGTTCGACATGTGAGACATTCGAGAACCGAGATTGCACTGTATATTTATAATTCTTACGTCAAAACTTTATTGAAAGTATCCCTGCACATTTAAAATATATCCTTAGCGTTGCGAAACACATTTTGAAGCATTTCAGGAGTTATCTTTAAGCTCAGTTAAACTATTGATCTTTTAGCGATAAACCTTTGTCTTTCGAAACCCCATGCAAAGAAATCTGAGAGAGTCAACAAAGATGACCTCTTGTGTATTCATTATTAATAGGGTTCTGAAAGGCAATCAAAATAAAATTAGAAAAAAAATTATAAAGTTATATACAAAATTAGAAATGTATGCACTTCTAATACATATTTAAATTGATGAACGGAAATAAGGAGTTTTGTGGTTTTTGTTTTTTTTTAAATTGTCCGCTTTTACTGAAATAGTTAACTAATGAAAATTATTAAATCTAAGAAAAAAATGCCAATACTAAACATAAAATATAGACGAACACTTTAATGTTACCGTACCTGCATATAAGAGAGTTGATGGCGTAAGTCGAAGGAGAAGGAAAGAGATGTTATTTTTTGGAAAGTGGAAAGAAAGACATGATTGTGTCTTTATTTATAAGCATAGTATAGATCGTTGATTTTGCCATATGAAACTGAGTAGGAAGAGACAATATCATCATCAGTTGTTTTTTTTTTCTTAACTTTTCTTTTTCCTTTACCAGTATCACTGCTACCTTTCTTTGGATCCATAAATAAGGACTAACAAAGAGAAAAAAAGACACAGTACAATAAGATTGGATAAGAAAAGCACAACACACGAATATATACAATATGGCGATCGACTTAGAAATGATTTTGTTTCGGTTAACTCGGTTCGGCAATGTTGTTCGAGAACCGAAATTTTGTTCGATAACCGAGGCATTTTCATCTCGAATTTTCTGTTCGGAAATCGATTTGTTCGACATGTGAGTCATTCGAGAACTGGGGTTTCTCTGTATATTAGACATAGGGTTGGAATTCTCATTTTTCGATATGGCTTTAATCTTTTGATTCCTTGTGAGCATACATTGGGATTTTCGCAGTTTTCGATGCACACCGATATGAACGAGAATTGAGACGCAACTATGTGAGGTCCCCGTCGTATATTCACACCTATCTATGCGATTAGATCAGCATTCTTTAACTTCCATGGTATAAGGGAACAGAAGACCCAGGGTGCTCCTGTTAAGACTACGACAACCAACGCAGCACTGACCTCGTCACTTACTGGGTTCAAGATGTGATAAACCCTCCATTGACTGGTGGCCGTTACATTACTCTGCTTTGTGAGCATAGTCAACCATTGACGGATTAATTGTGCGCAAACCGGAATGGGTTATTTCAGCAGGTTAATGTATCGGGTCATTGGGCCGAATTGCTCAGAATTAGTTTGCGTAGCCTTCTGGAAACTTCCGACAAATAATCCGGCAATCACGTTCGCTATCGAGCAGTTACGGGACGCAAAATACCGCACGGACAAATATCAAGGAGCTATGGACAGTTATTGTGATTCTATAGTCCAACTTCTCTCCAAAGGTTTTTCGAGCACTTGCAGAATCGATGCTAACTCCAATCGCCGGTATTCGCCTAGCAAGAGGAAATTTTAGATGATACTTCGCACTGATTCCAGGACTTTCAGCATGTCACTATAAATCCAATTGTTTACCCCAAGGAAGCCTTTTAAGCTTTGATCTCCACGCAAATACAAATAAAAATTCATAAGTTATCCGTATAATTTAACTTTTCTAATTCTTTTTCGCTTTTTCGAAAAGTGAATTTGAAAAAGAAGAGACTTATCTTCTTTTTCAAATTCACTTTTCTTTTATTTTCACATTTTCCCTGCTGTCTTCATAATTATTTACTGTAAAAGGTAAAAACCTTTTACAGTTTCTTTCTTTCTTTCTTTCTTTCTTTTTTTTTGTTTCTTTCGCTTTTTCTTTCATTCTTTTATCTTTATAAATTTGTAAATTGTGTTTCTTCTCTCAATTATATCTTTGTTTAATTTTGACAACTATTTACGATTTCTCTTTTCATTTCATTCTTTTTATTTAAAAATTAAAAATTTATTAAAGATTAATCAATAATCCTTTCCTTTATGATTCCTTTCTTTGGTTAATTTTGACGATTATTTACGCTTTTCTTTCTTTCTTTCTTTCTTTCTTTCTTTCTTTCTTTGTCATTAATATCACTCTTTTCTTTCTTTCTTTCTTTCTTTCTTTCTTTCTTTCTTATTAAAATTTTTTTAATATTCCTTCCCTTAATTATTTCTTTCTGTGATTATTTTCCCCGATTATTTATGTTTTCTTTCTTTCTTTCTTTCTTTCTTTCTTTCTTTCTTTCTTTCTTTCTTTCTTTCTTTCTTTGTCATGTTAACTTCACTTCTTCCTCTCTTTCTTTCATTCTATTTTTATTAAAATTTATTCAATATTCCTTCCCCTAATTATTTCTTTCTTTAGTTAATATTCACGATTATTTACGCTTTCTTTCTTTTTTAGAGTTTCTAAATTCTCTACTTTCGCTATTTCTGTTATCCTTTCCTTAAGTTTTTACTATATTTTAAATTAACTGCCTTTAATTCTTTTTCTTTCTTTCTTTCTTTCTTTCTTTCTTTCTTTCTTTCTTTCTTTCTTTCTTTCTTATCGTATAAACTCCACATACTGTCATTCACTCGTACCTCCCTCCTCCCAGTATTTTCGAATTGCACACGTCCATATGTATATAGACACAAACTTAGTAACTTAGAAATGCTAACTCTTCCAATCATAGTAACACGTCATTCTCCTACCCACAGAGACTCACGGACATGTGAAAATATAGAACAAGAAGAAAAAAAAAGGACAATACGTGTCTCAATCCATCCGACATCATCCGTATGTATCACGTCGAGTCTTCTCGGAGCTCAGATTCATTATATCCTCGTCAGCGTCTTCATCGTTACCAAGATTCTTGTTCGCCCTCATACTTCCATCTGCAATCTCAAATTTCAGTCCTTAAACTCTCTAATATGTCAGCTCCAGCAACATCGGGGTCTCATCTGCGGTCGACAATCAGCGACTATCTCCAATTATCTCTCAAGTGCGACGCCTTCACAAAGCGTCCGTTTCTCGCCCAGTCTGTTGACACTTTATTATTTCCGCGCGTGTGTCGTTGTTTGCGGCCTGACTCCATTGTTCGCCGAAACTCGCCCTCTTCGCTTTTTGCAATGGCGCCCAGTGTAATTCATGAGTGATTACTTTCGTGTTTGGGCGCTTTCTATCTGTTTGTCAATGCTAACGACTTGACTTCGTTCTTGTCTGTCAGCGTGTCCTTTTGCTTCTTTCTCGTTCATATCGGGATGTGGCTTTATGTATGTGTGTGTATTTGTATAAACTATGATTAGCTTCAACAAACAAAGAAAAAAAATTAAGCAAAGAAAGAAGAATCCGCACACACGTACAGCTTCATGAATTACTAAATATGTTAGCCTCCCTGAGCATGTCTGAAATTATATATTTATAGACCTTGAATGTTTATTGCATGCATCTATCTATCTATCTATCTATCTATCTATCTATCTATCTATCTATCTATCTATCTATCTATCTATCCAAATCTCTTCGTGATCTATCTATCTATCTATCTATCTATCTATCTATCTATCTATCTATCTATCTATCTATCTAAATCTCTTCGTGATCTATCTATCTATCTATCTAAATCTTTTCGTGATCTATCTCTCTATCTATCTATCTATCTATCTATCTATCTATCTATCTATCTATCTATCTATCTAAATCTCTTCGTGATCTATCTATCTAAATCTTTTCGTGATCTATCTATCTATCTATCTATCTATCTATCTATCTATCTATCTATCTATCTATCTAAATCTTTTCGTGATCTATCTATCTATCTATCTATCTATCTATCTATCTATCTATCTATCTATCTATCTATACTTCCTGACAAATCCAATGAATACAAATATATTGTTCTGCTCACCAACATTTTCAAAACTACTTTTGAAAATATTTTTAAATTATGCTCAACATAAAATTTGTCACAACTACGTCTAAAACAGTAAAAGACTTAATTAATACAAAACGCAATAATAAGCTATGACTTGAAGGAGGAATTAACTCTATTACCTGTAATAATTGCCACAAGAATTACACAGGAGAAACTTCAAGGAATTTATATAAAAGATTATATGAATACAAAAGGGATGTTTTAGAAAACAAGACAATAAATCTATCAGCTACTATACGTAACGAGACTGGCCACAATTTTTATTTAAAAAAAAAGCTATCCTGATTAAAAAAAGCTACTCTGATTAAGAAAAATCTACTCCGATTAGAAAAAGCTAATCTGATTAAAAGAGACGACAATGTTTAGAAAATCACTAGATCATCCACAGTAAATTTGTCGCCAGATTCTTACAATGTCTCATTCTTAAAAGATCTTATATTATGAAAAAGTGGGATATTTAATAACAAAAGTGACGGAAACAAGGCCGGTGGAAGGGTTTCGTGCCCTTCTGAATCTTTTTATTGTAACCTAATTATGTACAATAATGGATCATAGGCAATATAGGTGAACAATTCAAGTAGAAAATTTGAAACTAAATACAATATATCAAAATACAAATTAGAGACATTTCATAATAGATCATTCCATCTTAAATCAATGATCAATTGTGGCAAGTTTTAATATTAATTTAATTTTTTTTGTGAAGACATTGAATAATTTTAACACACTCAACATTATGGATAAAAATAGTGAATTATATATATATATATATATTTCAAGGCTTAGCATGTGCAAAACAAATTTACAGATTTGGACGAAAAAAAAAAGATCCCAGAATGACGAAAAATCCAAGGCTTAGTTTAATTTGCAACGTATATAAATCTAGGTAGAAAAAAAGCAAATGTTGATAAGATAGCGAGAGCCCCTAAGTACTTCCAGTGCCCCCCAGTCAGCTTCACGGTCAGGGGTTTCGTTAGTTTTGGTGATAGTACGCGCCGGCTAGATTATATACTCAAAACAAATATATATATATATATATATATATATATATATATATATATATATAAATAAAATTAAAATCCTCCGCGTCATTGGTTCGTGCGTAGTCGCATCATCGTAAACATCAATTTAGACCCGCTGAAGTCCTACAGGATGAAACGCGTCACACGACAGTATTTCCCATTTCGTCATACTTCTTACCCCTACAAGGAGCTACCCAGGCACACTTTTTAGTTCAGTTCAGAAGTGTCTCTTGTGGGTGACGGATTATTTTCCACCCACCAACCTCTCTCTCACAGGCGGGATGTGGCAAGCCTCCCGCTGGTCTGTCGCTAATACCATGGAAAATGCTCGGATGTACTACATTCCTTGGTTCCATCAGGTTTAATCTTCACGGCTAGGACCCCCCATGGCACTTATATTCTAGCAAGCCACCTACATTCCCTCAACATTCCATCGATGAGAAGTAAGTTCCTCTCGAACAGATTCTTCCTGCGAACCAGTGTTCTGTGGAACCGACTCCCAAGAGAATGTTTCCTCAATCACTACGATCTTAGATTCTTCCTGTCTCGGGCTAATCGTTATCTTCCCTTTCTATTCGTATAAACTGCCTCTTAACATAACCTAGAGTGACCCCGAGCCTTGTACAAGAGGTTCTGTAAAACAAAAATATTCTTAATATATGTTAAACATATCTATCTATCTATCTATCTATCTATCTATCTATCTATCTGTTTCTTTAAATATACTCTTTATCTATCTATCTATCTATCTATCTATCTATATATATATATATATATATATACTGCACGCATACAATCTATCTAAATGTACTCATCTCTTCAAATTTACTTTTTATCTATCTATCTATCTAAATTTACTCTACGCATACTTTTTATCTATCTATCTATCTATCTATCTATCTATCTATCTATCTATCCGTCCGTTTGTGGTATCTCTCTTCTTTTTAATATACACACTTTTTTCTCGTTGCAATCACTATAACCTCTTCTTTATATATATATATATATATATATATATATATATACTCTACGCATACTTTTTATCTATCTATCTATCTATCTATCTATCTATCTATCTATCTATCTAAATATACTCACCTTTTTAAATTTACTATCTATCTATCTATCTATCTATCTATCTATCTATCTATCTATCCGTCCGTTTGTGGTATCTCTCTTCTTTTAATATACACACTTTTTTCTCGTTGCAATCACTATAACCTCTTTTATATATATATATATATATATATATATATATATATAAATTTATTCTGCGCATACTTTTTATCTATCTATCTATCTATCTAAATATACTCACCTCTTTAAATTTACTATCTCTCTATCTATCTATCTATCTATCTATCTATCTATCTATCTATCTAAATTTACTCTACGCATACTTTTTATCTATCTATCTATCTATCTATTATTGTGGCAGCATGAACAAGTTATCATAAATTCAACGGTCAAAGTCTCGCTGGTTCAATTTTTGCTTTCGTTTTCTAGACTAAGCCGTTGCACATTTGAAGTAAAACTATGAATAAACTGTCTGAAGTTAATGTCTTTTTTCCAACCGGCTCAATCATTATCAGGAAGTAAATGTAAGTATTGTAAGTTAGCTACCTTCAGGATTTTCTTTGGAATTTTACAATTCAAATTTGCTTGGGCGACCAATGTAAAATTTAATGTTGTTATTTGATTAAACTGTGTAACAAAATTTTGACTTTTTGACTTTGGTAAGGGTTATTTTCTATTTTTTTCTCTCCTGAAGACAAAAAGAAATAACTATTATTTGTTTCAAAGATGGCTTTTGTGACCTGAACCTCGATGGTTTGAAACTATAAGGTTGGTGCAAAAATAATGACGTAAGAATGTCGTATTTTGACGTAGAAAAGTACGTCAAAAAACGACATTATTACGTCATTATTTTTGCACCAACCTAATAAACTATTTTACAATTCATCCCAGACAGATTCAGCGCTGAGTTGCTAAAAAAAAATTTTCTAGGACTTTCTAGATGTTTTGAGAAGTTTCTAAAGGTTTCAAGTATTTCTAGAACGTCCTGTCTACCAAGGATAGTATAACGAAACATGATTGGAGAGTATATTTATGGGCTGATTCGTGAATGGAATTCACAGTGTTAACGAAAATCACGAAAACTACTCATTTCTGAATTTTTTGTTGCCTTTCTTGTGTAATCCGAGAATAAATAAATGCTTCTTTTGTTGTTTTATTCCTGTTTTACGTGAACGAGAATGTTCACATTCGCCAGTTTTCACAATGGGAATAGGTAAATTTCAGAAGTATCATTATCCAGTTCACAAAAGCAAAGATTAATAGAAATATTAGGCATTCTTCCTTTTTTTTTTATCTGCGTAAGCAAATTGGAAATAACAGTTGCTACCGAAGGACAAAAATCGTGTTATACAATGTTATTGCCATTTGAGATCTAAAGATCTTAAAAAAGCAAATAAATATACCATAAAATTGCCAATGTATTCATTGACTTTCGGCGAGTAATAAAAAAATAACAGACATCGATATATGATGTAAGCAAAAACACATGACTTGTAAATTGGGGGGACCATCCACATTTTGAGTATATAGACTAACCGATTTAAATTTTTTTTGTTTATATTTCCATCCGTATTTTTATTAAATATTGAAAATATAAACATTGTAAACATAAAGTAACACTTCACAGAGACTTTCAGTGTCACGCCTGAAACAGAGGATAACAAGAAAGGCAGAAAGATTGAAAGCCAATTCTAAGATTTAGAAACAGTTTTAGAAAATTCAGGTGCCAAACAAATATGATTTCAAAATTTTAAATATTATTATGGATTATTTGTAATTGCAAGCATGAATCCCAGTATCAATAATTATAAATAATTATTGACCAATTTTATAATTATGATATTTTTGCATTATATCAAGCATTAAGAATATAGTAACTAGGCTCCGCAAATTGGAGGAGAGAGTTATCAATGATGTTCTGAGTTCGAATCCCCGGTTATCTCCGTTTAACCCTCTGTTTTTGTTTTTTTTAATTTTTAAATGTACTTTTTATCACATAAAATTTAGTGAAGCGCGAGAAAATTTTAATTCCGAAAATGCCGCCCAGTTCGGGATTCACTGCCTTAAGCGATCATCAAGCATATTATGATCGATAAATGTTTGAAATTTAATTATTGTCCTCATACAAAGCTCAAGGGCTGCTCAAGGTTCAGATTTATTGAATGAAGTTGTTATATGAACGTAAAAGGAGGCAATAATTCCCGGCTGAACGTAGACTGTGGCGATTGAAGTAGCATCCTCTCAGGAAGAAGCTGTTTGCTTTCAATGACAGTGATTTGGCTCTGCGTAAGTGGTATAGCAGGTCCTCGCCGTAAAGGTTTAGACTAGTGGAACTAAGGAATGTAGCTCGTGTGACATGTGTGAATAGCGACAGAGCAACGATAGGCTTTGTAACATTACATCTTGGGGAAAAAAGATGTAGGCTTAGAAATAATTAATTACCCACAATGCCACGTAAACGATTTCATAGTCTGCTAAGTCTGAAAAGTTAGAATTAGACAGATCCAACTCATATTTTTTTTTACTAATGTTCACCCAGTATAAGGCCGAAGAGCCATTCAAGTTAGAGGGTTACTGTGTGGTCTTGTTTTAGGGCAAAAAAAAATGAACAAGAAGTGAATTTCTTGCGCTATGCAGGAAAGATAACAGTTAATTCTAGACTTGAAGAGGTCAAGATTTTATCAGTGTACAGTCGGAAACGTTAGAAGGATAAAGTGGAAGTAGACTTTAGAAAAAACTGGAAACCCAATCCTAAACAGGAAACAAGAGATAAACCTATATTTATGTAAAAAAAAAAAATAAATAAATAAAAATGGGGAGAAGTGTGAACCGGTTGAGAGGCGATCTTATTCACTCCTATTGGGAGAGAGAAAAAATAGTGGATATAATTTCAGGGTTTAGGCGGAGACGTTAGAAGTATAGAGTTGAAGGAGACTTTGGAAGGAACCGGAAACGCAATCCTAAACATGAAATAAGGGATAAAACTCATACTCTTGTTCAAAAGATTGGGGAGGAGCTTGAACCGCACGAAAGGCGAACCTATCTATTTCTATTGAATATGACAGCAATAATACATTTTTGGTCTGATCGGACGCTCGTAAAGATGGAGAAAGACAGAAAGACTCAGGTTATATATTTTGGAACGGTTGGTACATGGACTCAACCAGCATCTATAGCGATAAATCGTCCCCTAGAATGTTTATGATTTTGCGATGTCTTGTTTCTGTCTGTCTGTCTGTCTGTCTGTCTCTCTCTCTCTCTCTATATATATATATATATATATAAGCATCCAGCTCTTATCTCAAATAACAACTTAAAAGAGACTGTTTGACCAACACAAAGAATGTTAAAAGATTCATGTTAAAAAGATAAAAAAATAAAAAAACAAATGAAAACTACAGACAAAAGTTCATTTTCCCCATCAAGACATTAATTTCTGTAATTTACTGCCACCAGCAAGCAGAAATATTTCTCCTCCCGATGATGGCCATTTTGGCCGAAATTAGTCGAGGAATCTAAATGAAATAATAATAAAAAATACGAAAGAATATTAATCTACAACCCAATGTGCCTGAAGATTTTAATTTTTTAATATTTTTTATTGTTCAATATATATATATATATATATATATATATATATATATATAATTTTAAATAAATAATTATATACATATATATATATATATATATATATTTTATTGTTCAATATATATATATATATATATATATATAATTTTAAATAAATAATTATATACATATATATATATATATATAAATATATATATAATTATTTATTTAAAAATTATAACATACATATGTTATAAAATCACTACAAAAATAGCCATTTTGTTTCAACATCTCTGGTGTCTTATCAAGTGATGATGTTGAATGTAGATGTAGAATATATATATGTGTGTGAGGAGGTGCTGAAAACTTTTTGTTCCGGCCGACATAGATTTTAAAAGATTTTATGTTTCATCATTTGTCCAAATATCAGCCGTCCTTAGTATGCCAATAAACTACATCCGGCAACAAAGCACTGATCAGGATGTTTTGAGAAGCAGAGAACCACCCCTTTATTGCTGTTGTCCCCAGCTCCATCCTGACCCGGGGTAGTAGAACCTGTTATGGTCCCAGCTATAGTCAGATAGTAAAACCCCAAATTGGGATCAAAACATTATGAAAATATAAAATTACATTTTTATAGTAAAATGCAGCAATACTTTTTCATACTAAAAAAAGAAAACGCTAATACATAAAAAAAAAAATCGCAAGAAAATTAAATTTCAGCTTTAAATGACCCATAAAGAGTTGATATGCCGTTAAACAAACAAACCCAATTAAACCAAAGCAGATATCGGGAATTGAACTGAGAAATTTTCATGATCTCGTGGTATATACACTCCGTACTAAATTATTATCGAGATAACTTTTTTTCTAATATTTCAAAAACCGTCCAATCAATTCACACAAAATTTTCACACAATGTTGGCAACACTAACCTGCGCAACCACTGAAATGTTTGTACTGATCTACGCAATGTAAACAAACTGGCGCCATATTTGTTATCAGCAAGGTGATTTGAGCGTGCTAAATTATTAGAAAGGTTTAGTAAAATTCCCAGAATTGAGCAAACAAAACGTTTATTAATGTTGCACGTGAATGTTTATGATCAAAAGAAGCTAGTAAATAAGATAACCAAACAAATAATAACAGATACAAACAAAGGCACCGTTTTAAACAAATTAATTGTGAATGTGCTTTTCCTGTTTTTAAATTACTTGAAGTCGACGATCCATATCTCAATAATAATTTGGCACGAAGTGTACAAGAACCATAACCTATTATATTTGTTGGTATCAGCAATCGGTGTTTCTGCGGCAAGATAGCCTAACGGAGTCCATCTATCTACGATCTGGTTTTGAATTCAATGTTGACCTTCTTACGGATTCGTTGATATACAAAAAGAGCTGATTTTTATATATATATAAAAATCATTTCATCCCAAACAATGCACTAAGAAACGAGTGACTACTAAATATTATTAACGAGCAAGAACAATAAAAGAAGAGAAAGACAGTATACAGCGACTGACATTGCGTTTGAATTTTTGAAGATCAAAGATGGCTGGAAAGAGAATTTCATGAGGAGTGAAAAGAAACTGTTAGCATAAAGCTTACGGTTACTTTTAGACACATACAACTATAAAGATGAGACCTTGATGCCAATCTAGTACTGCGCTTGTATTCTTGAAGTCTAGCACCACAAAGCACAACGATTATCATGCAATTATTTATAGAAATGTCACTAGGATACCCAAATTACGGCGGTGGGAAAAGGACTGCTTTTACGGGTGTTTCAATTTAAAGTGTTTCTTTCCTTAGACTGTCACCCACGAACGTTCGATCTGCATTGATATTTAACCATTAGCTAGTTGAAGACAAACACCATTAGAACGAAACATACAGTCAGTGTTTGAACGCGGCACACCAGTTCTACATTTAACGCCGATATCTCTCACGGTGTCTTTGCGCGTAAGCGTCGGTAATAAACGCGTGGCCGATATTCTTTGAAAACGGTCGTCTACATGTTTTTTGTGTATTCTATTCCATATGCTCATATAAGTATAGCTGTTAGTTTATGGAATATTCAAGAAAAAAAAATTTAAAAAACTGAGACACAGAGATATTTTTTTTCGGAAGAACATGTCGCTTTGTATCTTAAGAGATGACGCACCTGCTAGATTCTGTTTTTACCTGAGGCTTCCCAGCCGATTTAGAAATAAATATGAAGCGAGATCGGCTACCTCACAGATACACACGCACATACGCAACCATCCACGCAAAGACACACAAACACGCAAACGCACACACCTATATATATATATATATATATATATATATATATATATGTACAGACACAGAGATATAAATATATGCTCAAACTCATGCTTACATACATATATATATATATATATATATATATATATATATATATATATATATATATATATATTAATACATGTCTCATTAAATAATTTAGACAAGTTTTGTTTACTTATTTTTAATAGGATCCACTCGTAATTACGGACAAGTTTCTTAGTATCCTTATTAAAGGAAGAAAGAAAATTACCATGTTGATGCATATTCATTTTATTCCGAGAACTTTCGACATTAGCAAACATATCTTAGAAAAATGATGAACTCAACAATTTTATGTTTTAGAAAGAACAAGTCCCTCATACCGACACTATGCTAATGTGGAAAGTACTCGGAATAAAGCATCAACAGCGTAATTTTCATTCTTCCTTTAATAAATATACTAAGAAATTGGGCATAATTCTGACAGGATCCTATTAAAAATAAGTATACAAAACTTGTTTAAATTATTTAATGAGACATATCTTAATGAAAACATGCTGCCAAAATATACATAATATATATATATATATATATATATATATATATATATATATATATATATATATATATATATATATATATGTGTGTGTTTGTGTGTGTGTGTGCAGTTTATATTCGGACTATTGTACTAATTTTTGTTGTTATCACAACATTTCAGCCGTTGTGACCTCGGGCCTCCCTCATGTGTATATATTGATCTCAGTAACGTACAGCGAATTCTGAACTGAACTCTTTATATATACGGGGGTAGACTTCTGCGTGTTAGAGGATTTATCGGCTTGTTTGGGGTGAAATAATTTAAAAAAAATCCTTTACAGCTATTCTCGAATTAATATTACATCATGGCTTGTATTAGACAAAATATTTTTTCTTTCAGGAAAAACCCTATTTACAAGGGGAGGTAACTGCATTTTCTGATGTCAGTGTTTATTTCTAAGATGACGCTGCGTGTTGGCTTTCGTTTGTGCTTAATTTTTGATGTTTTTAAGTAAAAGTATCGTTCACACAAAGTGTACACATCAGGGGAACATGGAGAATACAACATTTAGCAAAAAGAAAAAGGTTACTTCCCGAAATCTTTAAGGTAAAAAGAAGATTAACGTCGTATTTCTAGAGAAGCTTTAATATGGTAAAGCCGATCAACTCTTGCATAGCAAGCGTGTGTTCTCGTCTGAAATTCGGAGAAAAGGATGTGGACAAAGGCGAAAGTCGAGGTGAGAGTTCAAAAAAGACTCGCTGTGGGTAAAAAAATGAAAAGTGTGTGGGGGAACGGTGACACAAGGAAAGACCACGCAATACAAAGAAGGATGATATCGTAAGATGGAAACAGAAAAGAAGAGAGACAGAAAGAGGAGGAAAACTGATGGAGAGTAAGAGAGAGAGAGGCCCTGAGAGAGAGAGAAAGAGAAGGGGCGCGAAAGAGAAAGAGAGAGAGAGAGAGAGAGAGAGAGAGAGAGAGAAAGGGGGGAAGGGCGCGAAAGAGAAAGAGAACTAGAGAGAAAAGCATTAAATGATAAAATCAATACAACCACGTGCATATACAGACACACACGTATCTACAGGGTAGATGCAGAATCGAATAACGTTTACAGAGGTTATATGATGAGGTAACATATGACCAAAGACACGTGATAAGAATGGCAGCTACAGTATATATATATATATATATATTATATATATATATATATATATATGTATGTAAAGAGAGATAGATAAAGAACATGTTAAGATATGTCATCAGACTGAAAACTGAAATTTTTCATCAGGCATATATATATATATATATATATATATATATATATATATTAAACAAATAAATAAATAGATAATCAGATAGACAATAATAAAAGACAGTTCTCCAGACACATAACGACTTGGAGGCGAGCCATAAAAACATTAGCCTTGAAATAGATACCCTACCCAACCTTAGCAAAACCACTCAGAAGATGATGAATCTATTGATAAGAATTAACTCTCTGACCACTTAACGGAGGAAAATAGTCTAGCCACTCCCACAATAACGAATTCTGTAACGGACCATGCCTAAAAACACACGTAAACCGAGAGATAGCTTTATTCCTAAAATTTCGCTTGAAGATGAAACGGGACTAAACACCACAATTCAACTTAATTTTAATAATTATTTGGATATTTCGGCTCTCGTTTTTGAAACATGAGAACTCTTATGTAGCGAAGGAATCATATTTTTAAAGAAAAATTATTATTATAATAAAGCTCTACTTCTGTATGGAGCACTGTCTTCTTAAAAATAAAAACAAAAATACTAAGGAACCCCGGATTATGCACCCAATGTGTTCTTTTCTATTTTCTGCATACTTATATATATATATATATATATAGTTAAATTCCAAGATGAATATATATATATTTCATCAAACCAATAAATATATATATATATTGTCCACAGACAGACTGTTTCGCAGCTCATCAGTGTGGACTCCAGCTAGGATCGAAACTCGACTGAATTGGCGTCAGTCGGAGAATCTACCCCTAAGCCGTTGGCTCCTGGTAGGGATGAAGGTGAATTTAAGCGTATATCCACCATTCACCTTGATAACCGCTTCAATGCAAAGAAGCATGCTGGTTATGACACTCTGACATATTCTGCTGAAATTTCCCTGGTCCAAACATCCTTGGCAATGTCCACAAAAACCCTGGCATTGGTCGGTTTTTTCTATCCAACCTTATGCTTCATATAATCACAAGATTTCTCTATGGGATGAAAGTCAGGAGCATTACCAGATCATTCCATTATCGTAACCCTGATTTTATAACATTCTGTCATTTTCTTTGTGGCATAGTTCATCATTATGCATTACAACCCTGTATATGCATGTAAGTCTCTATTCTTTAGATACTTTTGATCATACATGATTGTTCAAGTGTCAAGAAAATATAAATCAGCTATTGCAGACTCATCTGGCGGTGTTGGAGGTTATTGTTTGTGTAGTATATATTTTTGGGGGAGCTTTCTGGTATGGATGCATGGATGGCTGGCAAGTCGTGTCCGAGGATGTTCGTCTGCTAGAGTGGCTAGCTAAACCCTGTTGCAGATAGTCCCATTTGTGTTTGTTCAACACCTACAGAGCCCACCTCTGATTGATTAACGTAACTATACTGAGCGGACCTTAGCTACAGTTTCGCATTATCTGGCGTGATCAACAGTCTGATCAAGAACAGCATGCTCAAAACCTCAGTCACGATGCTAGCACAACCATCGAAGGCTCCCCAAATGTTCTGCTTCCTCAATTTCATCCACAAGGATATAGTATGGTTTTCGCGCACTTTCCACTGAGATTGCCTCCTTCAGACAGACAAATTACCTTCCTGACAAATCGACCATGGACAGAAAGCGAACGTTTCAACCACTTGGCCACCTTCTGGTATAATGCTGACGAAAACAAACTGCAGCAGTGTGGATTCAAAATAAAATTTCTTATTGTTTCCCTGTCTAATGGATATGCTTTTTGGTGAGTGCCAAGCGCTTTTCTTTTTGTCAGTTCGACAGTCAATCTTGTTTTTAAGGCATATTTGCAGGATCTTAGTTCAACTAATATCCTCAAAACTTACATCCGTAACCCTGAGAAGTATACAAATTTGATTTTTTTTAACATGAACTTGTCGGTGACTGTTGAACGATGAATTTGATGGTATGAACGTCTCTGGGAGTTGTTTTCTTCTGGGACGTCCATTTTCTTACGGTTAGAATAAGAGTCATTATATTGGTAATTAGCGATAACACAGTGAATGTGCAGTTTTGCAAGAAACCTATTTAGACTGTGCTTTCACGATCTGAGTTTTCCACTTTCTTTAATTTTTCTATTTAGGATCTTTGAAGGTTAGAAGCTGACAATTTTTCTTAGACTTTTTATAACGAAAGAAAACTAAATGAAAACTATTCATTAGAAAAACTTTATAGTTTTCAGTACCTGTCTCTATTTCTGAGATGAGGTATTATGTACACTATTTACATTGTTCGGACTATCATCCTCATCTTTGTTGCCATATTTATCACAACGTTTCAGCCGTTGTACGCTCTGGCCTTTTTCAGGCGGTTACAATGTCGAACTGAACCGTTTATTTCGCTAACTGGGGTAGACTGTTCTAGTTTCACGTGCTATGTCTAATGGATATCAGTTATCACTTATCTCCTGTTAATTCCCCTCTCTAAGTTTTCCACCGCCTTTACCAGGTATTGAATTCACACTCTTTGGGTCCTGTCACTGGATCTATCTAACGCCTTTATCCCCTGTGCCATGTGTCCTTGAGAACAGTCTAACTCAGTGAGCGTACATCGTCCATAGTTATGCTATAACACAAGCCATGACGAATAGACTGATAAAAAAAAAGACAAAAGGAAGGAAGACACTAGTTGGGTGGAAGAATAGGTATATTATTCTATGCTTATATCTGTTAATTAATTCTGACGTGATTTAACATTCTGCTACCCTGTTCGAAGTTAATATTGCAAACTTTTCTTCTAGGCAAATCTTACACCTATCACTAGTAATTTTATACGGATTGCTTTTTTTTAAGTGAATTTTAGGGACATACCTATTTCTCTTTTCATTTTTCCATTAATACGCTAATAGCGCCGTTGCATGTTCATATTTACTATGTTTGAAACTCAACTTATGTTTATAATATCTTTTTTTCCAATCATGTTCACTAGACCCTATATATAATTTATCTTCATTAAAACTATTCCTATTTTCTACTTCTGCATTCGCTAAGTAAACTATATTTTCACCCTTCTATAGGACAGGCGCTTTTTATTCTACAATTGTATTTACGTTTATTTTGTTCACCTTCATTGACATTGAACAGATTTTTATTGTAATTATCAGTAATCTTTTCATATTTTCCCCGCAAGAATAACTAAGATTTCCATTATTTTTATTAAATAGTTTGCGTATTTCTTCTGAAGCAACGAAGTGATTTCTAAATAATTTTAATTATCACCTATCTAGGTACTGACCAGGCTCGACGTTGCTTAACTTTGGTGATTGTACGAGAACAGATGTTTCAACATAATATGGTCGTAAGACCACAATACTATTGAAATTAATATATGCTTTGAAGAGAATAAGAATTTTTCCATATACAAGTTCTACTAGTTGACACATGACTACAAATGTTTCTATCTATCTATCTATCTATCTATCTATCTATCTATCTATATAATTTATTTTACATTGTAAGAACACACACACACACACACACACACAAACACACATATATATATATATATATATATATATATATATATATATATATATATATATATATATATAGGGACCCTCAAACCAGAAAAAATAACCCTTAGCCAACATATAGACGAATGCAGAGGACAAAATCTGCCAAATGTTAGTGACTTCCCATTCTACCAGTGCGACTACAGAACCACTGAACAAAGGCGGATTAATAAGGAAACATTTTTCATCAACAAGTTCAAACCCATACTTAATTCATTGCATAAATAGATTCTTCCAAATTTCCCTCACCATAAATGACATATACAACCAGTTACCCCCCTTGATTTTCCTTTTTTTCATTGGTACAAAACTATGGAGATAGAAACAGTTAAAAACTTTTTGAAAAGCTGAGCGAAATCGGTTAATTAAAAAAGTATAAAAGAAAAGGAAAAAACAAACCATTTTTCTAAGAAACAAACTCTGAAAATCCAATTGTAACAAAATTTTAATTCTTCTCAGTAAAAATTCATATATCATAAATAAATATCACGATATTAAATATTAGATGCCTTTTTTCAATCCTCATTTTAGTCTATAAAATAAGTTTTTGTACAGAATCTTTCAAACAAATATTTTTTTGCTATATATATATATATATATATATATATGAATTAATTAATTATTATGAAACACTTAAATTACCATAGGTATTAATCTTTATTTCCTGAAAGCTATAAAAATAGCTTTAATATTTCAGACCTACAAACCAAACGTCATATATATATATATATATATATATATATATATATATATATATATATATATATATATATATTGGGTTAATGTCTGTGCTATTTTGAATTGGGTGCCTACCAGTCTAGAAGAAAGAAAATAGTGAATTAAAACAATTCCTCCTCTGGGAGGCTTATGTTAAAGACTTTTGAATTATTCCAGAGAGTTTAAATATCAACACGACATAATATGTTACGGTTTGTTTGGAAATTTCAAGTCTCATTTTGCGCCATTTCTCTGTCTAGTTCTACAAAAGCATCTATCATTGTAACTGAAGTCCTGTGTCTTTCGCTCGAAAGTTTAGGAATGAACCGCGAGACTACATTGATGATTTGATTATAGTGATGAAGGTATGTGTAAAACCAGGCATACATTTCGGTAAATCTCGATAAACCCGTGCATATGACAGTCTTTATATACCGTAAGATGCATATATAGATTGGCAGTAACAGACAGGAAAAGAGAGAAAAACAGAAGGAAAGTTGGTTGAAATAAAAAAAAAGAGAGACGGAAGAAAAGATCGAAATCAAAGAGAGAAAGAAGGAAGGAATTAGATGGATGTAAAAGAGACAAAGACAAAAAACAGTTGGTATTAAAAAGAGAGAAAGATGGAAGGGAAGAAGGTGTAAATGGAAGAGAGACAAACGGAAAAAAAAGAAAGATAGAAATAAAATAGAGAAAGAAAGGAGAAAAGAAGATATAGATTAAATAGAGAAAGACGGAAAGGCAAAAGCTGAAAGTAAAAGAGAGAAAAATTGGATGGAAAGACGATGAAAATAAAAGAGAGATAGACGGAAAGGAAAGATGGTTTAAATCGAAGAGAGAAAGAGGGAAGAAAGAAAGATGGAAACTGAAGGAGAGATGGGAATAGATGAGAGGAAGGGGAAAGGAAAGATGAAAATAGAAAGGAGAGCGGGGAAAAGAAGAGACAATGAAAATAAAAGACAGAAAAGCCATGCGGATGGAAATATAAGATAAGAAAAGACTGAAAGAAAGGTGGAAATAGAAGAGAGAAAGAAAGTAAGGATGGAAAATGGAAATAAATGAAAGAAAGAAAAAAAAAGGAAAGAAGGTAGAAATAAAAGAGAGAAAGAGTAATGGAAAGATAGAAATAAAAAAGTGAAACACGGAAGGAACGCTGGAAATAGGTGTTGAAAAAATAAAGAATAAATTCAAATTAAAGATGAAGTGTTGCTGAGAGGATTAAATAACAGAAGTTTTTTCAGGACCATGATTACACACTTCCTGGTATCTTAGATAGATAGACAGATAGATAGAGAGAGGGAGAGATAGAGAGAGAGAGAGAGAGAGAGAGAGAGAGAGGTGTTACGTTAGATAGATAAAGAGAGACGAAGCTAAATCAATAAATAAATAAAAAATGGCCTGTCTCATGATTTAGCACTGTTTTCCCATCGATAGCAATGATCGGAGTTTTAACAAAGTTAAAAGTATGGATTTTGACTGCCGATTTTAAAGACAGCTGGGCGGCTTGCTAAATTGAAAAATTTAGCGCTACACAAGCTTCGCAAGAAAGAAAGAAAAAAAAAGAAAGAAAGGAATATCGAAAAAAAAAGAAAGAAGTAAAGAAATAAAAAAGAAAGAACTGACGAAAAAAAGGGACACAGAAAGTAAACGAAAATGAAAGAAAGAAAGGAAAAAAAAGAGAACGAGTATAGAAAGGGAATAAATAGTAAGAAAGATAAAAGAAAGAAAAATTTGGAAAGAAAGAAAGAAAAAAAGAGAAAAAATATAAGAACATAGTAGGGAGAAAGAAAGAAAGAAAGAAAGAAAGAAAAAGGAGGATAAGAAGAAAAAGTAAGAAAGGAAAAAAGAATGAAAAGGTAAGAAAGAAAGAAAAAAGAAAGAAAGAAATCAGTAGGGAAGAAAGAAAGAAAGAAAGAAAGAAAGAAAGAAAGAAGTAGGAAGAATTTGAAAAGAAAGAAAGAAAAAAAGAGAAAAGAGTATAAGAACCCAGTAGGGGAGAAAGAAAGAAAGAAAGAAAGAAAGAAAGAAAGAAAGAAAGAAAGACGTAGGAAGAATTCCCTCAACGCCTGTCAAATAAGAGAAAATCTACTTGAAACCTCAGAGGAAGAGCTGACGTAAGTAAAAGTAATGTAAACTTTAAAGACTAGAAAAAGAAAAACGGATATGTAAAAAAAGCAAGCAAGAAAGTAAAAAAAAAGAAAAAGAAAAGGAAGATAGAGGAAAGAAAAGAATGAAAATAGAAAAAGAGAATCTAAAAGAACGGCTCTAAAACAGGAAACAGAAACTTTGGAAACCTAGAGAAAGAAATAAAAGAAAGGTTTAACGTAAATGTAAGAATGAATATAAATTAATCACAAATAAAAGAAGCATGAAAAAAAGAAAAGAACGAGTGAAAGAAAGAAAATCAATCGAAGAGCGTACGTCGAAAAGAAAGAAAAAGAAAGATTGAAAATGAAAGATGAATCGAAGGGAGTATGATGAAAAGAAAGAAAGAAAGAAAGAATGAAAGCACGATCGAAAGTAGTATGATGAAAAGAAAAAAGATGAATCGAATGGAGTATGATGAAAAGAAAGAAAAAAATGAAAGATGAATTAAATGGAATGTGATGAAAAGAAAAAAGAAAGAAAGAAAGAAAGAATGAAAGAAAGAATGAAAGATGAATCGTAGGGAGTACTATAAAATGAACGACAGATGACTTGAATGGAGTACGATGAAAAGAAAGAAAGAAAGACAGATAGACAAACAGAAAGAAAGAAAGAAAGAAAGAATGAAAGATGAATCGAAGTGAGTACAATAAAATGAACGACAGATGACTTGAATGGAGTACGATGAAAAGAAAGAAAGAAAGACAGATAGACAAACGGAAAGAAAGAAAGAAAGAATGAAAGAAAGAAAGAAAGAAAGAAAGATGAATCGAAGTGAGTACAATAAAATGAACGACAGATGACTTGAATGGAGTACGATGAAAAGAAAGAAAGAAAGACAGATAGACAAACGGAAAGAAAGAAAAGAAAGAAAGAAAGAAAGAAAGAAAGAAAGAAAAAGATGAATTGAAGGGAGAACACTGAAAGAAAAAAAAAAGAAATAAAGAAAGATGAATCGAAGAGGTGTACGATGAAAAGTAAGAAAGAAAGAAACATAGAAAAGGATGAATCGAAGGGAGAGCAAGAAAGAAAGAATGAAAGATGAATCAAAGGGAGTACAATGAAAAGAAAGAAAGAACGAAGGAAATATTTCCTCAAATCACGTACGTAAAGCGCGAAAGTTTACAATCTCAGAGAAAAGATCCGAAAGTTGGGTTTAGGTAAGGGAAACCAAGAATATTCATGAAGCACAAATAACTAAAAAAAAAAAAAAAAAAAATCAAAAACACATTACGAGATAAAGGAAAAAAACAAAAACAAAAACAAAAACAAAAAAAACAAACGTTTCTACTGCGGTCGCTGTCGCCATGAATGTTGTAGAAAGCTGCTTAGCGACAATACCCACTTGTACGTTCGGGCCGTATCACGACCATTACTGGCCGCTCTTTTGTCCGCCCGTTTCTACATTCGTTCGACCGCCATTCGCTTTGCCTCTTCAACCAAGGCCACTTTCCCGCCATGGCCTGTTTCCCGCCGTTCGAACCACCGCGCTTTTCTTTAGTCCTGTTTCTCCCTTGAGTAGTAATTATCGAGACAGAGGAGGACGCGTTATAGACACGCGCTGACAAAGCGCATTCATAATTAATCTATAAATCTTTTCTTTCTTTCTCTCTTTTACTGACTTCTCTCCATCTCTTTCTTTTTTTTATCTGATTGTTTCGTTGTTTGCATTCGTTTTTGTTTTATAATTTAATGTTAGAATTGCTTGTACCCTGTTGTTTGTGCATGCGTATGGATGAGGCGCGAATGTGGAGTTTAAAGTTGTATGTGTTTTTCTTTTCTTTGGAGGTTATATGTGTATTTTATGCCTGTGATATTGATAAGTTCACTGCCTGACCAGGAAGAGATTAAAAAATTCTGATGTTTGGTCACTTAGATTTTCGTGGATGGAGCGAGTAAGCAACTAAGAAATCTTTAAGAAAATGCCAACAAAAAGAACACTTATAATGAGAATCAGGAAGAGACAGCAGAAATTCCACAGGCAAAAAATGAGAAGGGGGGGGGCTTGGAAAAAGTAATCCTCTGGGTGAATGTTGAGGACAAAGAGATAAAAGAAAGCCAGCCACCTACCTGACGAGCTTGTGTGAATGGCTGACGGAGCGAGGAAAGGAAGAGTCTTAGGAAAGGGTAGAGGAGGGTTAGAAAGTTTGGGAGAGCAATGATCGCCCACGTCCAGGGCGCTGTGTCTTGTTGGTCGAAGTTGTTCAGTTGTTCATTTGAGGAAAATATGGATGTCCAACGGCGGATTAATAAATCCGTATCCTGGCATGCCATATCACGTTGTTTATCCACTTCTCAACCGAAGAACGAACGTCGAGCCTGATCAGTCCCTAGATGAGTGTCCGATTTGGAATTACCAGGTGGTGTAAGCTTGGTTGTGTCGCCAGATGTACGGCTCAGATAACAGCGGATAACGGCTTGGAATGAGAAATCGGAGAGCCGAGTTCGAATTCCAGCAGGACAGAAAAAGACCCATATTCTTGGTTGCCAACCAGTCTACCGCTGAAAGTAACATGAGCCTACTGCTGAAGTTCTGCTAAGTCAATCATGAATCGAAAATAGTCATGATTGCCCAAGTGTGCGCCACGCACCTCAGGAAGCAACATGGCAAGTAGCTTTTAGGTGTTCGAATTCAAATTCCAGCATGAGAGCCGAGTTCAAATTGTAGCAGGACAGAAAGGGACCCTTTAGTTATGGTTGCCAACCAGTCTACCGATGAAAGTAACAAGAGCCTACTGCGGAAGTTCTGCTAAATCAATCACGAATTGAAATGATTCGTAGATCTTTTAGTTGAATTTTCGTTTGAAACCGTATAATATTTGATCTCTGAGGAAGCACTGAATAATTCTCAGCCCAATTAAGAGATTCCAAAACAATATCCTGATGTTTGTTCGAATTTTGGGAAGTCGATTGAGCCGAAAGCATTTCTAAAACCTCTTGTATGTGAATTGAAAAGAGATGGGATTCCGTTGAAAAATAAATTGTACTGGTGTAAAATAAACGATTTTTAGGCTACGGACGTACTATGTATATCATCAGCCGTCCTATACTTGAGATTGACTTACATATAATACATCCTATTTTTTAGTACCATCTGTGGAATATAGGACCACATCCTCACAGTACTAGGCGTTGTTGCTCTGGCTCTCTTTATCATAATAATCTAAAATGCCCCTACTTATGGAAGTTAGCATCAGTATAACTCATGCTAACTTCCATAAGATTGAACCGTTGCGCCTTCACGAGCTTACATGCTCGGCTGACATGAATTGGAAAGATTATATTGAATCCGTTGCTAGATCTGCTGCCAAGAAAGTTGGTTGCCTGTGTCGTGTTAGACAATTTTTCTTTCCAGAATCTATCATACATATCCATAAGCCTACTATTCACCCATGCTTTGAATATTGATGCCACATATGGTCCGTTGCTCCTGCTGTATATTTAGAGATTCTTGATAAAATCCAAAAAAGGATGAGCAATTATTTACATTATTCGAACTATTGTCCTCATCTTTTTTTTTTCGTGCCATTTTCTGGTAGGATTTTTCAATTTGTCTCCATATTTTTGGTATATCGGGTCCGCAGCGATCCTTCAGAGTCGGTCTATATTTCTGAGATGAGGTACTATGTACATTATTTACATTATTCGGGCTATTGTCCTCATCTTTGTAATAGTCCGAATAATGTAAACAATATACATAATACCTCATCTCAGAAATATAGACAGACTGAAGGATGAGCAACATTTTCAGTTTCAGCTTCAGTTACTTTCTCACCATCGTAAAGTTTCTTCCTTGTGCCATTTCTATAAAACAATTCTATTCTATAATACATTCCTGGTAATTGTTCAGATGAACTCTTCGCTATTGTACTTAGACTTTATGAATTTAAGCGCAGGACTAGATTGATGGCAAGATCTCATAAATTCACAGTTGAATTAGCTAGATGTAATCGTAAGTTCTAGACTAACAGTTGCTTTTCTCGTGTGTGGATGTCTCTTCCGACTCGATGCTTTGATCATCAAAACCTTAAATGTAATCTCAGTCGTTATCTACTGTTTTCTAGATTCCTTTTCCTTTATTGTTCTCACTTCTCGCCTGTGGAACTCTCTTCACCAGCAACGCTCGAAGCCGACGAAAAAAAACGCGTCTCCTGGTCGTTGGGCGCATAAACCGCAACGATCTGGAACGACACAATTTTCACGGCAATATTGGTCTTGATCAACCAGCCGTCTGCATCGACGTCGGCAAGGTACATCCTCGCAACCAGCAAGGAGACGCCTCTGGCCAGTCGGACTCCGTATACTGAATAGACGACAAAGTCGTTAGACAGCACACAAGCATCAACATTGCAAACAAATTCTACTGGATCACGGCGGCATCCACACTGAAAGACAAGAGGTCACGAAACAGGCGGGTAGCCATATCTCGATCCCTCAGGCCATTGGCATGCAAGCTGGCTATCTTGAGAGACATGATTTAAGTCTGAAAAGGAAAAACAGAAAATTCCTTATTAACATACTGGGCGGAAATCTGCGGAGGTGGGGACCCCGACAGATTTTCCTAGGAATCCCGTACCCATCTTCGGCGTCAACAGTCCATCTAAGACAATACCGTCAACGTCAGTGCGGTATGTTAGTTTTAACGCCCTATATAGTGAGGGATAGAGTATTACCAGGACACCACCTGCACAAAATATTGAAAGTTTATTCAATTCCGGGGATCCTACCTCGTCCACGCGTATCTCTGGGGATGGCGTTCTTTGCCTCGAACAGGTGCGACCATATTGTTAAATACCTTCCCGCATCCCTTACACATGTTATCACACCTGGGGCTTTAGGGAAATTGCGGGGATCTTCCATAGACTTTCCTTCGACAGAGGTGATCTTAAATAGGGGATCCAAAAGGGCCCTCTTCTCAGTGGAGATGTTTTCCTCCAAGTCCCGACTGTCCATCTTATAGATCTCTTCTGCTCTGGAGAAATATTACTTCTTTTTCTTTTTCCTTCTGGACGGGTGAGGTGAGGTTGAAGTGGATGGGTGGGAAGGTATAGAAGTAGAGGGTACGAAACCTGAGCAGGGGAAGCGTGGAGGCTGCTTGATTTTGAGGCGATGTCTTCAATTTGTTTTTACGCTGGCGACACATTGACGGATTGAGATCTGGTTTTTTTTCCCATGATCCTCTCCGCAGCTACTTCTCCCAGTCATCTTCTCCATTTTGTTTGTTTCCTCCTCCTTTCCTCCTCTCTTTTCCTCTTCAAAGAGGAGGACCGAGGTGGAGGCATTCCCTCCTCCTCCATATATGATTCCAGCCGTTGATGGTTTTTCTGATACTTTTGTTGTTTCTGTTGATGTTTTTGTTGCTGTTTCTGTAGTTGTTGTCGTTGTTGCAGCTTCTGTTGTTTTTCTTGTTATTGATACTGTTGTTGCTGCTGGTGTCGCTTCTGTTGTTGTTGCAGCAATTCCTATTGTTGATAATGCACCTCTTCTGGCCGCTCCTGGGGTTATTGTTGTTTTTGTTGCTGAGGTGATGGCACATCTTGCTGCGTGAAGTGGGTGCTTGTCGTCTACCGTCCTTTCTTCACCACCTCCTTCCAAACACCGTCGGGGGCCTTGCCGGGCTTTTTCCGCTGCTGCCACTACTGCTGGTGCTGCTGCTGTTACTGTTGCTTGGCTAGGCTGTGGCACCACGTGACACGCCTTTGACATGTGTCTCAAGACACCACACGACCAACAAGAGGAAATACGGCCTTCCACTACCACAGGAATCATCTATGAACACTAAAGAAGAGAAAAATAAAAACTTGGCTTTCATAGAAAAAAAAAACAAACAAAAAAAAAAAAACAAAGAAATAAAAGAAAATTGAAAATGAAAAAGTGCAAACAAGTTTTATAAATAACAAAAGAAAAAAATTAAAAAAATAGACTTAAAGTGAATTTAGTTCTTCCAAATAATTCAAAGGTAAAAATCCACAAACTTGTCGGGCGAAATTTGTGGTGGACGAGGTGGTAGGGAAGAAAAAACACGTAATATCAAGTTACCATTTTTTTTTCCTTGTGTTTTCACTTAAGAGATTTTTGCCTTTATCCGTTCAAACGTT